ATCTATCAAAAGATGCATGATCGCCTCAGCATGTATCGTGCATGGCACATAACTGACCAACTGACTTTCTACTCGAATCCATTACATTCATCTACGTACTAATACCCTTGGGAAAGGTATGAATCCTCTTCTTCTCCTTCCAGTTATGGGTAATTAGCAGGACAGACCGGGTTCTATAGCCTTGGTTGCCAACTGGTCTATGGTAGAAAGAAATGGCAACCTACTGTGGGAAAAAATCTGCCTCATCAGTCATGTATTAAAAAATACATGATCACCTAAGTATGTATCATGCATGGCACATAACTGACTTACTGACTTTTCATTCAAATCCATTACATTCACTAATGTGCTTTGAAAAGTTATGAATCCTCTTCTCTCCCCAGCTATGGTTAAGTAGCAGGATAGACTGGCTTCTATATCCTTGGATGGCAACTGGTCTACCACAGAAAGAAATGGCAACCTACTGTGGGAAAAAAATCTGCCTTGTCAGTCATGTATCAAAAGATACATGATCACCTAAGCATGTATCACGCATGGCATGTAACTGACTGATATAATATTAGGAAGCATCTTACAATTATTGACTTATTTCCATAAATGCAAATATACAAAGAAAGAACAAAAATACTATAAAATAACTAAGTGCGCAAAAATCACTTCATTCACTTTAAATTAAATGATCACCTCAGCATGTAGCACACATGGCATATAACTGATTGGCTGACATGCTAATACCATTGGGAAAGGTATGAATCCTTTTCTTCTTAGGCAATCATGTATCTTTTAATATATGACAGATGAGGCAGATTTTTTTTTTCCCACAGTAGGCTGTCATTTCTTTCTGCGGTAGACCAGGTAGCTATCCAAGGCTATAGAACTTGGTCTGTCCTGCTGGGTGGGGGGAGAAGAAGAGGATTCATACCTTTACCAAAGGTATTAGCATGTAAGTGAATGTAATGGATTTAACTGGAATTTGAACTCAGCTTACTGATTCCTCAATTCGAGCCGCTATCCATTACTCCATCACTATTCCTACATGCAATGAATGCAGGACAATTTTATCACAAATAAAGAAGAGACTTGAGGTATCAGAAATGTAATTCGGCAGAAGGATACAGAGAATACCATGGAATGAACATGTGAGTAACACAACTTTCAATTTAAAAACAAAAGTTAAAGGTTGGGAGGTGGGGGTCATAAGGTCAGAATTAAAAAAGAATTTAATTCTGATCTTATATCCTCCACTACTTGACTTTCAGAGAGAGTGGAAGAAACACTTTGTTTTTAAATTTTCTTAAAAATCATTTAATCACTAGTTACTTACCATCACTTGAAGAAGTACAATCAAAGTATTGAAACATGAAAGCTCTTATGCAGCGATTTCAATATGTTTTTATTATAATCCCTTATAATATATATATATATATATATATATATATATACCCAAGTATAGGATTGGTGCATACAGAATAAATTCCAATAACCAAAAAATACTATTCTTAATAGAGTGCTCAATACAAAGTAGAGCAAATATAATTATTTATTCGAAAATTATAACATAAATATGTTATAAAATCACTACAAAAAATGCCATTTTGTTTTCAACACTTCCAATTGTCTTATCAAGTGATGATGTTGAATGTAGGCTCTACATTCAACACCATCACTTGATATGACACCAGAAGTGTTGAAACAAAATGGCTATTTTTAGGGATTTTATAACATATTTATGTTATATTTATATATATATATATATATATATATATATATATATATATTACTATTTCTCTTTTTTACTAATGTTGCAAAAAATCATTGATGGTACCAATAATGCTATTTACCAAAGTACTACTGGAATTAGTGTTCTCACTATCAGTATATTTGATGCCATCTTCTTCTATTGAAGTGTCCCTTCATAACATAGGCAACCATGGCTCTCCACAAATCCCTGTCCTTTGTAGCTCTTAATAAACTTTTTGTTATCTATCCTGAACCTTTCTCTACCATCCATTTACTCAAACTCATCAGTTAAGTAAATGTTTTTGTTTCCTCTGTCACTCTTCAATCTGTTTTGTGAGTATAAAATTTCCCAAGCCCTCTTTCCTCATTATGTGTCCTAGAAATTTTAATTATGTCTTCTTGATGTTAAGTATAAGGGTCCTTTTTCTTCCTTTTCTTTAAAAATTTGCCATTGCTCACATGTTCGGTCTATGGTATTCTCAATATCCTTCTGTAGAACCACATTTCAGTTGTTTAAGTCTTTTCTCCATTTGTGAGGAGATTGTCCAGTATTCACTGCCATATAGGAGGACTGATATTACATAACAGTTCAGTACTCTTTTCTTTTGCTTCAAGTCTTTTCTTCATCTGTGAGGTGATTGTCTAGCATTCACTGCCATATATGAGGACTGATATTATGTAACAGTTCAATACTCTTTTCTTTGTTTCTATTGCTTCAAGTCTCTTCTTCATCTGTGGGGAGATTGTCCAGTATTCGCTGCCATATTGAAGTACTGATTTTTGAATATCACATGCAATTTTATGCATCTAAGAAAAAATAACATAAATTTTATATATTCTTAAAATTGGATTAAAAACACATAAGCAAAAACTTCTCATACACACATACACACACACATGCACATGTATGCATACAAACGCATGCACATTCAAACATGTCTATATATATATATATATGTAGATAGATAGAGAGATACAAACACACAGAGACACAGACACACATACACACATATATATCTATGTATAAACTGATAGATACAAACACAGAAATACACACACACAAACACACACATATATATAGATAGATGTATATACATTACAAGTAGAACCATATATATATGAAAGATATGTATATACATGCACATATATACACACTTACATCTACATATTCATAGATAGACACATATCCATATGCATCCATATATACATACACACATCTCAACATACAGATCTATGCAAGTAATCTTAAAAGAAAAACTTTAAAAAAATTTTTTATATAAAATACAAAAAATTCCACATTTGTAACGAAACAACTTCAAAGTTATTAAGTTCTCTCAGCACATTTTGCAAGAACCTCATCACTTGTTTTTTTTTTTAATCTGAAATCTTAATCTTGTGTTCAAGGATTATCCTAATCCATTTCTAACCCTCACCATCAATGAGCTTTGTTTCCCAATGCAAATCAGTGATCCTGCTTTGTTTTAATTCTAGAAGGTCAAGATGAACATCAACAGTCTGCTATCAAGTTAATCCTTTCTTCCTTCCTTACACCTTACCCATCATCCCATGAGACATTGCAATGTTCTTCAGTCCTGGGTCAAATATTTAAAAAAATTCTTGTCTTTTTCAAATTTACTTGGTATATATCTTCATTTCTATGTTAGCATAACTAAAATTCACCACTAACTTTTTTAATTCTTTTTACTGCAAATGACAAAAAAATGGCTTTAAATCTATCTTTCATTTATACCAACATCATAGTCAACAGCATCGGCAATAGCTACATCATCATCATAACCACCACCACCACCTCCTCCACTATGACTACCACCACCACACTTCATACTCCATACTGATATAATAATTAGTCTTTTATTACAAAATTTTACTGAAGTAACTAAGTCATAGTAAGATGTTTAGAATCATTATTTTTATTTATAATTACTAAAAATCTCAGGACAGAACAAATACCATTAGTAGTTATTAGTATCAGTATCAATTCAAACAAATGGTAAATGAGAAGTAACATAAGAACTTGTACATGTATTTATTGCCTTACCCCACATCTTGGATTATGATCCAGTAAGAGATAGTACAAAAAAGAAAACATAAGAAAATAAATGATAATAATAATAATAATAATAATATAAATAAATAAATAAATAAAAATATAGGATTTTGAAATTGAAATTGAAAAAATGTTGCACCTTGTAATTACTGTTTATTCTATCATAATTCAAGCCCTGAAGAAAGATGCAGATAAGAATATTAACAAGGTCCGTGATAGCCACTGTTTACAACAGATTAAAAAACATTGCACTATGTGGAACTTCTCATCTATTCAGGAAAGTATTATCGGCAAAGTTTAACCCTTGTAGCCATAAAAAAACTGTTTCAAAAGAACATTTTTTTCTCTGTTGATACTGCTATTACTATCTACTACTGAGACTCTCTCGGCAATGTTTATTTACAAGATTATAAAAATATGTAAGCCAAATACTATGTGATATTTATTATTTACCATTTTATGAACATTTGTTATTTATCATTTTATTAAGAAATTAAACTCTGAAAACAAATTTTTTATTCATAATTTTATAAAAATATCTATGAACTATAGAACAAAAACATTTAAAGAAACATTATGTTTCCAGACATATTCCTCTCAAATTATTTTATATCTCAGATTACATTTTTTTCAATTTTTCAATTTTTTTTTTAGAATCATGATCTAGGATCAAAGATGTTTAATGAATAAAAATCCAAGGCCTGAAACTCCAAGAATTATAGGTTACTCACTGTTGTGGAGTATCGGAGCACCCCCACAAGATGGACTGATCTAAAAGATATATATCACACACTTTTATGGAGAGTGAAAGTTGAACAGAACTGAAGTGAAGTTCACGATTAACTTTTATTCCAGTAGACTATGTTCTTGACTGTTAGTACCATATTAGTCTTCAGAATAAATTGCTACTACATTTTATATGTGTATCGACTTATCTATTTCACAATACAACACCCACATTACTACTCTTTTTTGAAAAACGTCATTTTGAAAATGTTTTTAAATTGTTGCTAATTTTTCTAAAAATGCCTAGAAAATTTGCCACTATATTATTTATCATGTACCCTAGTGCTGACTGATGAAGAAAAAAATTTTCAGTTTCAATTTCAAAATGTTGATATTTATTTATTTATCTATATGTATAATAGGCACCTTTATTTATTTATCTATATCTACAATAGGCACCTTATCTATGTCTATAATAGACACCTTTATTTATTTATCTATATCTATAATAAGTACCTTATCTATATCTAAAATAGACACCTTTATTTATTTATCTATATCTATAATAGGTACCTCATCTATATCTATAATGGACACCATTATTTATTTATCTATATCTATAATAGGCACCTTATCTATATCTATAATAGACAACTTTATTTATTTACCTATATCTATAATAGGCACCTTTATTTATTTATCTATATCTATAAGAGGCACCTTTATTCATTTATCTATATGTATAATAGGCACCTTATCTATATCTATAATAGGCACCTTATCTATATCTATAATAGGCACCTTTATTTATTTATCTTTATCTATAATAGGCACCTTATCTATATCTATAATAGGCACCTTTATTTATTTATCTATATCTATAATAGGCACCTTTATTTATTTATCTATATCTATAATAGGTACATCATCTATATCTAAAATAGGCACCATTATTTATTTATCTATATCTATAATAGGCACTTTATCTATATCTATAATAGGCACCTTATCTATATCTATAATAGGCACCTTTATTTATTTATCCATATCTATATTAGTAACCTTATCTATATCTATAATAGGCACCTTTATTTATTTATCTATATCTATAATAGGCACCTTATCTATATCTATATTAGACACCTTTATTTATTTATCCATATCTATAATAGGAACCATATCTATGTCTATAATAGGTACCTTTATTTATTTATCTATATCTATAATAGGCACCTGTATTTATTTATCTATATCTATAATAGGTACCTTATCTATATCTATAATAGGCACCTTTATTTATTTATTTATCTATATCTATAATAGGCACCTTATCTATATCTATAATAGGCACCTTTATTTATTTATCTATATGTATAATAGGCACCTTATCTATATCTATAATAGACTCCTTTATTTATTTATCCATATCTATAATAGGTACCTTATCTATATCTATATTGGACACCTTTATTTATTTATCTATATCTATAATAGGCACTTTATCTATATCTATAATAGGCACCTTTATTTATTTATCTATATCAACAATAGGCACCTTATCTATGTCTATAATAGGCACCTTTATTTATTTATCCATATCTATAATAGTAACCTTATCTATATCTATAATAGACACCTTTAATTATTTATCTATATCTATAATAGGCACCTTTATTTATTTATCTATATCTATAATAGGTACCTTATCTATATCTATAATAGGCACCTTTATTTATTTACCTATATCTATAATAGGCACCTTATCTATATCTATAATAGGCACCTTTATTTATTTATCCATATCTATATTAGTAACCTTATCTATATCTATAATAGGCACCTTTATTTATTTATCTATATCTATAATAGGCACCTTATCTATATCTATAATAGGCACCTTTATTTATTTATCTATATCTATAATAGGCACCTTATCTATATCTATAATAGGCACCTTTATTTATTTATCTATATCTATAATAGGCACTTTTATTTATTTATCCATATCTATAATAGTAACCTTATCTATATCTATAATAGGCACCTTTATTTATTTATCTATATCTATAATAGGCACCTTATCTATATCTATAATAGACCCCTTTATTCATTTATCCATATCTATAATAGGAACCTTATATATATCTATAATAGGCACCTTTATTTATTTATTTATCTATATCTATAATAGGTACCTTATCTATATCTATAATAGACACCTTAAAATCCTGTTACCTGTAATAATTGGAAACCTTAATATGATACAAAATAGCATAGACAAGATGATCAGTAGGGACAGCTCCAGTTTAGAAGAGACTCAAAAATGAAACTACTTTTAGCATCTCATCTAATCAAGAGAGTATTATTAATGCAAAGAAAATATAGTCACTGTACATGTGAAATATCATATCACATCAGAATTTGTGGAAATAGAATGCATATAAAGGGTGTTCCAATAACTTGGACTGATTGTAAATGTGAATTAACTTTAAATATCTAATGATTTTTCTTTAGATCCATAAGCATCTAATGATTTTTGTTCCTTTAGATCCATAATCATCTATTGATTTTTTCTTAAATCCATCTTAATGAAGCACCCTTGGGTGTTTCATTAAGATGGATCAAAGTCAGCAGTAAATAAATCAGTGTTATTGGTGAAAATTTATTTATTTTTCTATTGGATCATGTTATTTAAGTTATGGCATTTATGTCTGAAAAATAATATCACCAAAATGTCCACCAAATCTGAAAGTTATTGTAACACCCTTTATATATAATAATGTTTTTAAAAAGTAAAAAACAACAAGGTGCCTACTCTCTACAGTAATAGGAAATAATGTTAGATTATATATATATATATATATATATATATATATATATATATATATATATATATATTTTTGGTGTTCCAATAACTTGGCCCGATTTTAAATGTCAATTAAGTTTAAGCATCTAATGATTTTTTCTTTTACTTTCAGATTTGGCAGACATTTCAGTGATATTATTTATCCCATAATTGCCATGAATTAAATAACATGATCCAATAGAGATTTTTATTTACTGCTAAATTAAAATCATTAATGAAACACCCAAGGATGTTTCATTAAGAAGGATCAAAGTCAGCAGTAAATAAATCAGTGTTGTTGGTGAAAATTTATTTATTTCCCTACTGGATCATGTTATTTAAGTCATGGCAATTATGTGTGAAAAATAATATTGCCCAAATGTCTGCCAAATCAGAAAGAAAAGAAAAACATAATTAGATGCTTCAACTTAATTCACATCTAAAATTGGTCAAAGTTATTGTAACACCCTTTATATATAATATTCCTATTTATGCATGCATTCATTCCTGACTGCTGATAATCTCTTTCTTCCTGATTTCCAATGCTTTTCTATAGTAAAATCATTAGCAATGTATTTACATTATACATGTAATATCGCCCAAATATCTGCCAAATCTCAAAGAAAAAGAAAAAGATCATTAGACGCTTAAACTCACATTAAAAATCGGTCCAAGTTATAGGAACACTCTTTATATATAATTGACCTATTTATGCTTGCATTAATTTCTAACCACTGATAATCCATTTCTTCCTGATTTCCAAAGCATTGCTATATAAAATCATTAGCAATGTATTTACATTATACATGTAATATATTTATATCATTAATGCTTAGATTAATTCCTGACCATGAACAATCACTTTCTTTATGATTTTCAACACATTCCTATAGTAAAATCATTAACAATGTACTTATATTATAAAGGGTATTTCATTAAGACGGATCAAAATCAGCCGTAAATAAATCAAAGTTATTGGTGAAAATTTATTTATTTCTCTATTGGATCATGTTATTTAAGTCATGGCATTTATGCGTGAAAAATAATATCGCCCAAATGTCCTAATCTGAAAGAAAAGAAAAAAAACTCATTAGATGCTTAAACTCACATTAAAAATCGGTCCAAGTTATAGGAACACTCCTTATATATAATAGACCTATTTATGCTTGCATTAATTCCTAACCACTGATAATCCATTTCTTCCTGATTTCCAAAGCATTGCTATATAAAATCATTAGCAATGTATTTACATTATACATGTAATGTACTTATACCAGTAATGCTTAGATTAATTCCTGACCATGAACAATCACTTTCTTTATGATTTTCAACACATTCCTATAGTAAAATCATTAACAATGTACTTAAATTATAAAATATATAATCCATCTTAATGAAACACCCTTTATTTACTACAAGTATATTAATGACCTCATCCCAGGTCTCATGTAATGATCAAGTAAGGGATTGTACTGAAAATCCAGTTCTTTATTCACTAAAATTAAAAGTAGCCATTGATTAATCATCGGCAACAAATTAATTATTGTCTTCTTATATAATATTTTTACAATGAATAACAACATCTGTATCAAATAAACTTAAAGTAAAGAATATAAAATTAATATTTCTTGATGATTAAAATAAAAGGAATAATAGTTAATTGTTAAAATGCTTCATTTAAAAAATGATGCCATGTTAAAAAAAAAAAATTACAAAAAAACTTGATTCAGAACAGATGATATTAAAATATTTTTCTATATATTTATTGTATGTTTAATTAAAGGCTGGCATGTACTAACCACCACCACAGCTAGAAGTGGAAGTAAACCTGATTGGGTACCCCAAGCAGTGCTTTGTGACCCTTACTATCTTATCAACATTTGCTTTTTTTTTCTACCTACATATATATATATATATATATATATATATATATATAATATAAACCTAAAGAGCCAGGCTCTTTAGGTTTATATTAGTGTTATACTGGAACACACCTATTCTATTGTTAATAGACTCTCCCACCTATAATAAGTAGGAGTAGTAGCAGTCGCTAAGTGGCTCAGTAGTTGGTCAGTCAGTCGATGTTGGATGACCGTTAGCCGGATATTAAAGTATCAGCTACCCCAACTAGATTACTGCATCATTAACTATTATTTCAAGTTCCTAACGTTTTGTATGTCGAACCTATTTTAGGAATACAAGCCACCACTGTGAAACTACTCTATAACAACTTGGCGACCAGGATTCAAACTCATACGGAGGAAGAAAAAAAATTTGTTCGCCATATGCAACAATTAGGTTTGCTCTACTTCGTGTATTGAGCACTTTACATAGTTGCCTTTACTCGTTTTGGGGGTACTTTTTTCTTTGGACTCTGAGCTTGAACTTTGGATGATTGTTTTTGCCTCAATTTCATGTTCTTAGTTCTTTTTTTTTTATTATTCCTCATTTTTCCTTTGGTACTAGTTTGTTCTACTACAAGCCGAAATACCTAAGGTTTTTTCCAAGTGAGTACTACCATTTATATATACATATACATATATATATATATATATATATATATATATATATATATATATATATATATATATAAATTAAACTAAACTAAGCACGGTTGACTATCAAAGGATCAAAAACTTTTGTGGATAATAATGCCATTCTAGGGTCTTGTTTTTTTGTCCAAATCCATAAGCTTGTTTGGCTCATGCTAAGCCTTAAAAATAGTTACTTTCACTAATTTGCAATACCTTAAAGTTTTAAAATGAATTGTTAAAAATGACAAATCTTTCTTGAAGCTTTCATTTTAGTTTTAATTGAAAGCTAAATGACTAAATTTACTATTTCCAGTTAGCAAAATACTCTGTGGTGTATTTCAAACAGAAATTATATTGATTGAAATCGATTTTTTTTTCAGTAAAATCGGCCATTTTGACACATTTGTAAACAAAAGTTAATTTTCCATTTTAAAAATTAAGTAAGTGGGTGAAACATATGTAAAAAAATACTTTTACCAAGATTTTTTAACCAAAAAATTTAAAAAATAATTTCATTCATTTGTGAATAAGTCATGAAAATTTCATAAAAATCTGACAATTATTTGAGTTTTTGAAGAATTTCTGGAATTAATGTGTTTTTCACCATAAAAAAGAGGCTAAAATTTGCTATACTAAAAATTAGTACATACACTGACACAAGAAAAACTAGTTTTTTAATCAAGTTTTCTAATATTCTAAAAAGGAGTAAAATATTTAATTCAATATCCAAAAAATACTTTAAGCCCTCCTCTTAAAAATAACATAAATATTTTGACATAAAAAACATTGTTTTCATAATGTTTGGAGCATTTTTTTATCATTGTATGCTTGTTTTTTTGTGATTTCATGGAGGTACCTACTTAAAAAAAAACTATATAATATTAACTATTTTTTTTATCCATAGGGTTGAATGTGTCAAATCTTTCAAATTTTTTAACAAGAAAAATCTTAAGTTGATGTTAAAAATTGACACAAACCATTGTTGATTTATTTGAGATGGAAAACATCACTTAGAGATATATTGTTGCCCTTGTCTTAAAGGGATACATGACACAAAAGAAGAAGATGAAATTAAATGATATTATATGGAAATATAATATAATATTATATATAATTATATGATGATCATGAAATAATAAAATTTTATGTAATTAAAAAATAATTATTAAATTAAATGAAATATGTAATATAATATAAAATCATAATATGATAATTATGAACATATAATTCAATAATTTTGTCTTTTAATGACATGTTAATAATGTTATCATAGTGTTATCATATTCTAGAAATAAATAACAATTATAGATACATCATGATTATATTTATTATGACATATGAAAGAATGTGAAATAATTGTACATTATTATGAAATAATTAATAATTACAATGCTCAATGTAAAATATTGTAAATTATGATATTGATTATAATATCAAATATAATGTTATTCATTAACTATGAAGCAATATACGAATTAAAACTGTTAAAAATAGAAGCTTCCAGATACATGGAAACATTCTGGATTACTTTGTGATAAAAAAGATACATTCTGGATTACTTTGTGGATGAAGAAAAGAGACATTCTGGATTACTTTGTGGATGAAGTCAAGAAACATTCTGGATTACATTTTGGATGAAGAAAAGAGATATTCTGGAGTATATTGTGGATGAAGTCAAGAGACATTCTGGATTACATTTTGGATGAAGAAAAGAGACATTCTGGATTACTTTGTGGATGAAGTCAAGAGACATTCTGGATTATATTGTGGATGAAGTCAAGAGACCTTCTGGATTACTTTGTGGATGAA